GACTTCTGAAGACAGCTGTTGGAATTCTTTTATGATTACGAATCCAATTATTACCACAAATGTTAAAAACATAGCAATTTCTCCTATAAGGTAACTCTTCCATATTCCAAATTCTAAGCAACAAATGAAAGGTTCACTTGCAAATGTTGCTGCCTTAGCCCAAGCAGGATACAATATAAAAGAATTTAGTATTGCCATCGATAAAACTAATACAATTACTATTAGAGATACCAACAATGATAAATTATTAATTGTGTGTAATGCCTTTTCATTCTGAAAAATTGGATGCCTCAATTTTATGTCTACGTTTAATTTGTTATGTTTAATATACGTGAATATCGTTGCGATAGCGAATGATATAATTAAGCCTGTAATTTTAATTTCTGTTGTTCCGACTCTAATCTCAGAAAGTAGAGAATCACAAGAATATTTCTGAATATGAGTTGGTACAAGTTGCAATATGACCAATACAAAATGTTCCCATGAGAATATTTCGATAATTTGAATGTAGATTATTTTTACAACTCTTCGAAAATACGTGGAAGGTTGTCTGTCTTGACACTTACAAGGAATGACTGGTTCGATACCGAAAATTATCGCAAAATTTAAGTATGGTCGTATAAGTCAGTTGAAGCAAACCTCTTCTCTGTGCATCGAAGACATCTTTAGTAGCCTAGGAAAATAAATTATCCAATTTATTGATGAAAGGAACCTTCGTTTTCGAATTATTGATCAATTTCTTTACTTTCTGGTTTTAAAATACGCAAAATGGATGTTCGCAGAAACAATTTTGAAATAGTTATAAACCATAGATAAGCGCAGTTGTGGTACAGGGAGTTAGGAAACAACTGATACATATTTCTTCTTTCATATTCCAATCCTTATTGCTGTATTTTTAATATCTATGAAAACAGAAGTTAAACGAAGCTAGTTCGGATTGCCTGTGCTTTTGTCCTCAAACAGAGCTGTATTAATTTTATTTAATGTTCTTAAACTAATATTACTACGAGCTGAGTTTACCTAACTAATTGAGCTAAGTTTGTATAACGTACTTAAATCATTTTTACTAATTTTGTGTTAATTATAACGAGATTGCTGGTTATGAAAGTCAACTTATAAATTATTCTTTTAATCTTATTAATTAAGAAAAGATTGGTTCTGAATAAAATTAAAACTAGCCTTTCTCATTCGGTATATATTAGAAACGATGCACTGTTTTGAGTTTTCTTATATCTTTGTCGAAAATTTGCATCTAATTACATTCCAAAAATTCACTAAGAGATAAAACTGTTTCATGTCAAAGAGACTGCAGTACGATTACCTAGTCGTTTAGTCACTTAAAAGAGGGCAATTATTCAAAGAAGATGATACCTCATCCATTGTGTAGAATGAAGGCAGAATGCGAAGAACGAAGGCAGATAGCGCATTGATTATTCTTCGATAAGTCACTTATGACTTCGTTGTTCAAGTAGAAATTAACCATTTTCAGTAAATTATTTTAAGAAAGAAGATAACTTTGATTCTACAATATTTTATTAGCAGACAAAAAATAACTAAATATATTTATTTACTATAGTAAAATTTTCTAATTTTCTTAATTAATAATAATTAGCCTGGACGAGCAGTAACCAAGCTCATTTTTCTGGGATAACTTTTGCAATTTTTTTTCTGATTTTTTTTGTTTTAAAGTTCTTTTACGTTTGATTTTTATTATTTATGTCTTAGAATGCTCAGTACAACTATGGAATGTTTATAAATTATCTTTCGCAAAATATAATTAACTCTCAGAAAAGATATCTTCAAATACTAAATTTCAACTTTCGCCTATTCGACGCTTAATAACAAAAAAGTATTTTTACATTTTTGTGTGTTGTTTTTTGGAATGTAAAGCAGCACTGTTGCTTCATACCTTTACACAGTTTGGTGAATTTCGGTTGAACTGCAGAAAAGTTATTTGAGTTCAAAAAAAAAGGAACCAGATTTACGTTCCTCATTCTCACTAGATGGGTATCAAGTTACCTAGATTTTCGATCGCCTCTGCTGTAACTTCATGCCCGGGACAGAGTCGATAGATATACTGTACTGGTACTTGAGCAGCAAATAGCTCTAACTCTATGATACTGGAATTATAAATATTTTTGCCCCTTCGATTGCCTCGATGGCATCTAGGCGTAAGTTTGGCTTCAGCTTAGGTCGAGTCAGCTGTAAACATTCGAAATTATTTTAGTATATGAAATTGTCTCGTTTATAACTCAAATATTTCTTTCGTATGTTTTAAAAGACGGCTTATAAATACTACTTTAATTCGGTTTTGAACATTATTTATTCGTAATTGTCGTTAATATTTTTATTTTAATTAACTATCACTTTCACGATTTTACACTTTAAATTAATAAGAATGTTTGTGTTTTGCTTACAATTTGTGTTCATTTTTTAAATATTTTTGGGAGTTTTCATTGAGGGTGAGAAAACGTAGTAAAAAATTTATAGTTAAGCCTCTATATACATTTTTAATATGAAATGTCTTCGATATTTTTGAGAACTCTCTGAATCAGTAAGAAAGGGAATGGAGATAATTACTATTTATACATTGAATTATGGAAATGTATAGAAATGTTAAACCATGTGCTTAGATTTAAAGTGTTTTCTTCACAGAACAGTATAAAAAAATTACAAAAATGCTTGAAAACGGTAAAACTACCTACTGACCAAATAGATAAACAAACTCCTTCTCGCCTAAGAGTGACTCTACCGCCAGCTATCGACAACTGAGACATTAACTGAAATTTAGAGCATTGCGCAGGGACCACCGGGTCAGTACCGATTTAAACGAATTGTTGTTTCCTTACGTCAACACGTCAGTAATTTCGCTCCACTCATCAGAAATTTTCAACTCTCTCGATGTGACTTACTTTACTAGTATAAACATTAGTATCAAGAAATAATAATAAAAATATTTTATTTCTCTATTTGTACATCTCTGGCAACACTGAAGTGCGAGTTTTGTAACAGCTGATTTCCGACTTCCGAAATTGATGATTATAATTTGAAATTTGTATTGATCAGTAAGTATCAGATTTTGTTTTAAGAATTATTCTATTTCATACTTAACATAAAATAAATATTTAATTTGATGGATGTTTAATGTTAAATACAATTGCACATTAAATCTAATGAAGTGACAAGAGGATTATTAAAGTACAGAAAACATACATTTTGGATGTATTATGGCTGGAACACTTAAAAATTAAATAAAGTTTAAGAATGATATATCAGGTTGTATAGGTAAAATTTACAGTTCAGCTTGGAAGGTAATCACCATTAATATCAATCATATCTCAAATTTTGCTGTAAATTTTTACCCAAAATTTTAATCCTGTGAACATAGAATGACTGGGGTTTTCGTTTGAAGAAAGTCTCTAGAGTCTGGTATTGTCTGTGATCTGTATGCTGGCAATATGGTTGTACAGAGCTGAAAAAGATAGTAGTCGATTGGTGCCAATTCTGGTAAGGTGAATGAGGCAGAACTCCGGCCCAGACTGGAAGACTTCTTTGGCTTTGTGTTGTTTTGGGGAGTTTGGATTTTGTCAGTTATTGCAGAGTGTGGAATATTAAAATGTAGCATTAGAGTTTAGCAAAAATCAAAAGAATGAACCAGGTTAAGTCTTTGCAAAAGTCGTGGTATGATAAGTCTGGATTAATAGCCAAAATATATGTAGCAATAAAGGAATATAATACTAAAAATAAAGAATTTTACTGTTTTCTTATTTATCATACATTTTCTATAAAAAGTCTCCACCATGTAATGTTGATTTACAGAATAGGTATTTCAGTCATAAAAAATTCATTAATTAAAAAAATACAGTGGTTGATCGGTTAACAAACATAATCCGTTCCAACACTGTTCGCTATCCGAATTGTTCGTTAACCGATTATCGATTTACCATAGATTTTTATGGGAATTCAATTAATTCGTTCTGGAGACCCCCAAAAATGAAAAAATATATACTTTTTTACTATATTTATTTATATGTAATAATAAAAATACACAGTCTTGCATTTTTATTAGTCATTTTTTTCTGTTTGTGGGGGTTGAAGAATCTGTTTAACGTCTAACTGTCTATATGGTGTTAGCCGTTGTGTGTTTTGTCAGGCCCTGAGTAGTGCAAAATAAGACTCAAGTCAGCTGAATAAATCATTCAAAAATTTCAAGGGTTGCCGACAGGATTACTTTGATAATGTATTTCTTTTTCGAATTCAAGGTTTTATTTCTTCAATTATTACTTGCTTACATTGCTTGTTATATGAAACTATTTTCTAAAAACTGAGTATTTTGGGACGTTCAACCGTTATCACCCTATAAAATATAGTTCATTCGACACAGAATGAAACAATAAAAGCAATGATACCAAAATTATTCCCAAGCAAACAGATAAAATGAACACAGGATATAAGTGAATTTTAAGGATTATATCGGACAAAATAAAAACAAAAATTATTGATATATATTTATAAATTATCAAAGAAATGTACATTAAATGTAGGCTATGAATATGAGCAAAAATAAATTATCAAATTTTTACAATATCCGAACTAATGTGATCCGAAAATTAAAAAAAATTTTGAATAAGTTTTTTATTTTATCGTAGATTTATGATGCATTTTTTTAAAATATATTAAACTATTATTATTTTAAAATCTTAATAGATAATACCCAAACGTTATAAAATAATAATACAAATACTTTTATCACAAAAACATAGTACATTAAGTAACCTGTCTATTTAATTATATCGATTACTGCAGATATAAAGTTATTCAAATTACACACCCAATTTGCATACAAATAAGTCATGTGTTATATTTTCATAACGATATAATTTTAATTACTAATATCAACGAGATTACTTCAATAAAAGCTGAATATTAATCTACATATCCATTCACAAATATGCAATTTACACATTTAGAATTTACTCGCGAGGTAGATTAACAGGACAGAGTTTGATTATAATCACGGATACAAGAGTAATATTTCTCTAAGTGTCTTATTGGTGTCATATGGAATCATCCCAATTGCCAAAGATCTGAAACGGAATCAAGAATATTGGAAGAAACAAATAATTAATTTCATTATATTTTATTTCGTGAAATTAACCTCAGTGTAAATTCACATTTTCATACAGGTAATGATTTCGTACTTTCAAAACACTACGGTAAGTATTGAGCGAATTCGCTTCTTATACTCTAAATTTTACTTAATTGTATTTGTTACAGTTTGTAGTATTATATTATTCGAGAATTAAGAAGATTTAAAGTACAAAACTTATAAAGAAATTACCTATAGGTTCATTATTTTCAGAGTAAAATATTGTAATAATCTTAGGACAATATTACAAACATACAATACATAAAATGGTGAAATCAGCATATTTTAGTTATATGAAGAAGCACGGATTAATCAGATATGTTTCGTTAGAAGAAATGGCCAAGAATTATGAAAGGACAAGTGGTAGCTTTCCCACGGTAATAGTTGATATTTCAGATGTAGACACGCACAAATACATTAATACACTTGTACCTTATCCATGGAATTACCATACTCTTGTAAAGATACTGACAGAATATGTACGACAGTTTCGAGATAAGCACATTGAACCATGTTTTTATATTTGGGGAAGATTAAAAGATTATGTGGATGTAAAAATGCCGAATAAATATAAAAGTAATAAAAAGAATGGTTTGAAAAAATTAGAAGAGATCAGAGATAATCGTCACTCCGACTCTACATGTTATGCTGAGAACACACTTAGCAAAATATATTGGTTTTCCAGCTTCATTTTAAAATATGAATGTGGATGTCAGGTGATTAATGTAACAGAGAAAAAATACGCAAAATTGGCCAAAATTGTAAAAGATGATGATCGTTGCTTAGGAATTCTCACATCGGATCCCGGATATTTCATTTATAATACAAAACCCGTTTTTTATCACGTACCTATGAAATTAGTTTCAACCCTTACGGAAATGTATTTGCCAAACGAATTTTTGAGAAAAATAGATTTAAACAGCTCCCAATTAAAACTCTTATTCTGCGCGCAGAAAGATCTTCTTGGCTTTAAATTCGCAAATTTGGAAAACGACGAAGTGTTACGTATTGAATATTTAAGAAATGCCATTAAAGATAACAATTTGACTGGAGATAAAAACGATTTTTCTATTTGGTCATATGTTACTGATATACGTATAGCTAATCTGAGGGCAAAAGCGGAGCTATATGATGAAATTGATGATGATGGTGGTGGTAGTGCTAATTATACAACGTTATCAAAGTTACTCAAACAAAAATGGATTGCGTGTGAAATTCCTGCTAAAGTTTATTATGTAGTGAAAAGAAGAAATTATGTCGAAACTTTCAATTTAAGTGATTTTATTGAGGAGTCTTTACCATTTTCTATTTCCTTGTATGCTTCGATGAGACGAAACATGTATTTCGCTCTTTTAAGACAAGAAAATTGCAGAGTGCGTGAATTATGGATCTCCGAACCAGCCAACATAAATATTGAAGATTATGTAACGAATTTTACGGCATACAAAGGTAAGTTCTTTTAGGTTTTACAGTAGCTGTACTGTAAACACTAATTCCATTATCGCATTTAGGTTTTACTCCAAGTTTGGAAACACTATTATCAAACGATAGTAGTGTAAATGAATATCGATGGAAATTATTGCTCTATTGTTTAGGAAGAACTACATGTAACCGATACGCCAACACACCTATATTTGCTTTCTGTTGTGTTATAAATTACATGTTAAGAAATGGAGTCGAGTTTCGTCAATATGAATTGGACGCATTGATTCTTCAAGCCATTCTTGTTTCCAATAACAGTGATTCGTATAATAATAATGTACGTTACATAGAAGTGTTATCATTTTTAATCTAAATCAAAACTTATAATTAATGTAACATTATGAATTTTAGACTGAATGGAACCGGAGATTTGTCCATCTAAGCAGATTGTACGAAACGGGGATGAACACTTTGATGAACGTGTTAACCGCTTGTGGATTTCCAATTTCGTTGGAGCATTCGCTGCATTGGAAGACTTTTAACATTCTTGTTTTTAGTAACGTATATTACGAACTAAAATGTCCGACACCTGTAGAGTTGTTTTGTAGGAGAAATGTAAGTATATTTTTATTTTTATAAATTTATCAGTTCAGTAATGTGGTTTTGAATTGATGAATGAATCGCTACTATATAGTATATTTTAGAGATTTTATTCGTCACCATTCACTGTGAGAAAAAGCTGTTTATATACTACATAATTTTGTATTGTTTTTCACTTTCAGAATATTGATATATCGTATTATAAGTGGATCTGTATAACGTGTTTAGAAAAGTAATAAAAGGTGATTGATTTTTAGCATGATCTAGTGTAATTTCAAATGTGAAACGAAGATTTATTTTCTCGGATTTTATGCAATACTTTAAAGTTCTCCCTTCCAAGTAATAATTTATTTGGAATTTTATGGTCTTAAAATTATTGCTATATTAAATACATTTTATTGTCATTATACAAAATTTGATATATGAAATATCTTTTTAATGCAAAAATGTACAAAGAATTTTAATTGTCACGTAAATCTATATAAATTATATTCTAAAATAAGCTTAGACAAGAGTTTCAAAATGTATTGTCATTGCTCTTTTTTATATACTGGTGTTATATGAGGAGAAAATAAATTTTGTCTTAAATAATCATAATTAAGAACTTGTATTTGTTGTTCATTCATCTAATTTATGTATGTATATTTTTTGTGGAATAAAACTCATTATACTTGTATATGAATCTAGATCTTTAAGACGCGAATCCGTTCTTTGAACGCAATGATGTACATAATTATAATAATACGTAAAATTAGACATGCAGAGATGATATGCATTTTTGTTTTTGATAGGGATTTGTTGTTAACATTTAATTTTCCTATTTTTACATATTTTAACTACAAATACCTATCAAAAACAAAAATGCATAATATCTCTGTCTAATTTTATGTATTATTATGTACGTCATTTCGTACAAAGAACGGAATCGCGTCCTAAAGATCTAGATTCATATACAAGTATAATGAATTTTATTCTACAATAAATATATACATAATTAANAACTGACTGCTGACAGGATGACGTATTATTAATGTGCCTTAGCAGATGCAATGCATTTTAATTATATTTTGAAAAGGTTTATAATATATTTTTAACTATTATAAAATAACAAGTAGCTTAATTTTCAGGGTAAAGATGAGTTTTCTAAAAAATTATAAATGCTAATAACCAGTAAAATCGTCATTATCTCCGACCGTAGTGTAGATACACACGACTCCCTTTATATCCCCTCCTATTCGACCTTTACTAAAATTGAACTGCATCAAACCCATAACAAATCGTTCTGCTGTATTTCAAGATTTTCTGACAAAAATCAGAGGAGATATTAAGATTGGCACGTTTTTCTTTACCCTGTTTGAAACATATACATACATACATACATACATTCATACACATCCGCAATAACATCTATACAAACAGAAAACCCCGCGATTTTTTTTTATTTTTCAACGTTTCAAGGTGTCCTAAGTCCAAAAATAGAAAAATCGTACGAGACATTTTTTGAACGATCGCCATATTATCCCTTTTTTTATATTTAACAGCCGGGAAGTAAAAACAAATTACGTGCAAACGGTGTGTCAATTATACTATTAATCTATATTAGGTTGCGCAGTGAACCTTTCGTCTTCAATCGAGAATTTGTAGAAGAGGGAAAAATAAAGGTGAGAAAAAGAAGTTTTGAAAATTAATGAGGTGACAAGTATAAAAATGTCATCGAATATTATTCCAATGCTTCTATCCACACCACCACTATTAGATACATCAATAGAAAGTGATGATGATGAATTTGGAAATATTACAGCAGCTTTGGGGAAATTTAGTGATGATTTAAATGGTGTTCAGCAAAGTGATCAATTAGACAAGGAGATTAAAAATGAGAAAATCAGTTTGTGATTATTTTGTGCAATCACAAAATGATGTTAATATTCAAAAGACAGAAATTCATATAAATCATTTTTCAAATTTCTCTAAAGTTGCTGTTGAAAATGAAGAAGAAGAAATTATTCCAGAAATTGAAGGAACTCTACCAGGAAAAACTATTTCATTACAAAATAGAAAATGTGAAAGAATTTCTGCAGAAATATCACTTAATATTCAATCAAGTCAGATTGATAAATATAACTGTAAAGAATACATTCCAATTAGTGACCCAAAATCTTTAAGCAATGTACCTGCCACAATTCAGGAAAGTACCTATTATTCAAAACAAGTTGAAAGTAACAGTAAAATAGAAAATTTAACTGATGAGGAAACAGTACCTGTAGTAGTGACCTAAGCTTCACTTTAAAATGTAAAAAAATTCAATTTATTTATTTAAAATGATTAAATTTTACACGTGTTAGTACAGTAGAACCTCGATTATTCGCCCCCCGATCAACCGACCCCTCGGTTAACCGACCGTCCTAGTCGGCAAATTTCAAATGTCCGCTAGTGATGTGGCGCTACAATATTAAGCTTCGTTTAAATACTGGCTCCCTTTCATGGTCGAATGAGTGTTGCCAGCTAAAACACGTAAAAATAATATTAAAGTAGCCAAGACATAGCCAAATATTGTAGCGCCACATCACTAGCGGACATTTGAAATTTGCCGACTAGGACGGTCGGTTAACCGAGGGGTCGGTTGATCGGGGGCGGATAATCGAGGTTCTACTGTATTTGGATGGGTGATGTGAAAAATCTAATTTTTGTCTCGAGTCGGATTAGCAGAAAGTACCAGATATGCATAATACAATATACCTTCTACAAATATGTAGTTCATAATTTTATTCAGGACTTCTTACACAGATAAAGGGTAATTTATAGAACTCTATATGCATTAATTAATATCATTTTCAAAAAAATTAGAAGTTAGTTTTTCCAATTTCGACAACATAATGTACTCACTCATAACGCAAAACCAACTAAGGACTGGTTTTTAACAAATGATGTGTATGTTATAAACTGTGAAGAAGGCCTATCGAGTAGGGACAAGATAATTCAAGTTCCACTTTACTCTTTACCCCAATAAGATTGATCCAAATTTTAACTCAACCTTTAAATCTATAAAAACAGAGCAATTGATATTTACTTGGCAGGAGACTTTAAATCTACAAGTTGTACAGAAAATAGAAAACTATATTACGACTCTTATAAATGAAATACAGCCCAAAATCAATTACTCTATATTAAACTTATTGCACAGATTGAAAGATAAGGTTCGAAAACGTAGCATTTCTTACAGTGTAAAAAATTATTGATATATTTAATAACGAAAGGTAAACTAATGGAAGTAGAAACGACTAACAATATCCATAATATTAAAAATCAAGTCAACACGATGATCAACAAAAGACTGCAGAAGATAAAATGGAATGAGACTACTAGACAGTTAAACAGTGAAAATGTGTAATCTATATCTATATCTATCTCTATACATTAGAGCATCGATTATCCGAATCAATTGGAGACTGGGGTTGTTCGGATAACTTATTTTTCGGATAACCAATTATGTACGAAAAAATATATTAATTTATCTCGTGTTGAAATTTTTCTCCGTTGCGTGTCGCTTCGCGTTGAATTTTCGTCGATGTTAAGCCTAACGAAGACTATTGTATCGTTAAAAATTATTTTTTTATTTTGTACAAACAAAATAAATATATTCAAAAATATAAAAACAATAAAAAATTATATTTTAGAAGTTCATTTACGAGTAATATCAAATACATAAAATATTTGAGTAGCCCAAGACATAGCCAAAGACTACAGCGCCACAGCACTGGCGAAAATTTAAATTTGTCGACTGGAATTCCTTCGGATAACCGACGTTTCGGATAGCCGACCTTCGGATAAACGACGCTCTACTGTATATATAGAAATGGACGTGTGTGTCCCTATATTTCACTTTTCAGCCAAAACTACACATCGCACATGAATGGTGTTTGTATGTGGTAGTAGCCGCAAATCTCCATTCGTGCACTATGGTGGATGCGTCTCGATAGCAATAAAGGTGCGGGAGATATGGGGTTGAAAGTGGTTGAAAGTGGAAGATTTTCTATTTCGATTTTAAAAATTTTCGAATTTAAATTCGAATTGGTTCGATTATAGAACGATCGTAAACGTTCCAGAAAATTGATCAAATTCAAAATAGTTCGTTTGAATAAACGTAAAAATTTTCTAATTAGTCTGGAAACGGGGGACCTAATTCTTGCATTCTGTGAAAACGGGTAAGATTGGCTATAATGTAATTATCTTAACCCGTTAATAAGCTTAATCCTAGCGTACATTTTAGTGTCAGAACTCATGTTAATATTTTCTTAATACAATACATTAATTGATTATCAGTGTAAAGCAGCGATTCCCAACCTGTGGTACGCGTACCTCTAGGGGTACGTGATAGGTTGTTTAGGGGTACAGAAAAAAGTTAGTTGTTATGGCAGAAAAATAATATATTATGTATCACAAACTAATAGTATTAAAAAATTATTAGGTAAAATATGTTCCTTGCAACAATCACAACTTTATTATACATTTTTTCATTTACTTTTTTTTCTTTAAAGTTACAATATGTAAAATTAACAATACGGGTACTCACTAAATTTCTTAAATGAGGGGTACAATTTAAAGATATGACATGTTATGGGGTACGCTAATGAAAAAAGGTTGGGAACCACTGGTGTAAAGAGAAAAATTTTGTTTAGAATATATTTCTTGTGTGTTTCTTGTTCTCTCATATCCGTTTATGTTGTTTTGCAAAATATCTTTCTTATTTATATTAAATATATACAGTATTACGTTTTTGATTTATAGGGCGATACGATTTAAAGTTAATAACATTTTAGCACCTCATCATGGTTTTAAAATTTACAATATTCAAGGTGATCAATAAATATTGTCATTGTTATATCTAAATAATTTAGTCGTTATTACACTATTATACATAATCAAAATGTCATCAGCATACCTTGCAAAAAATATAAAGCTCTTTGATAAAGTTTTGCCCATATCTAACATAGAGATTTCTGCTAATTTCGGTCCAATTACTGAACCCATGGAAATGCCATCAGTTTGGCGATAAAAGTTCTCTTTTATTACTGTAAAGTAATTATTAACCAGTACAAAACTAATTAAACGTTTTAAGTAATTTGAAACATCATACTTACCTGTACATAGTTATCTAATGAATGAAATAACAAAATCCCAGTCAATTATGTTAGAAGAAATGCATATAAAATAAATTTACCTCGTAATTTTGGAATGACTAAATATCAGCGAGAGGACTAATTAAGACGAAAATTAAATTACAAGGAATTAAAAACACATGTTTACAGCTCTTTGTCGAAAAAACTAAGCAGGTTCACCACTACACACACACACGGATGCAGTCAGCCATTGTGGCAAATAAAAGTGGTAAGTTCAGCATATGCTTGTGAATGTAGATTAGCTTAACATTATTAACATTTAAATCAATTGAAATTAAGACAATCAATTCAGTCCCAATTTAAGAAAACATGACAAAAAGTCTCTAGTAAAGAACGATTGTAAACAGCTTCGTTGAATACTCGCGATTACTTCATCCAATGTG